CAAGACAGGACAGTTAGACAGTCGGTTGAACTCATTTGCATGGCGTGGGTAAACTGTGGCTATGCTTAGAATGGTTTTCTCAAATGACCCGCTTCTTCGATCGGAAGGTCTGGAGAAACTGCATCTTCGGACCTCATTGATGCACTTCTACCCTGCTTTCTCGTCACTGCGAAGAAGGCTAGAGGGGTTTAACGACAAAGCGTTTTCCCTCGGTGCATAGAAACGTTGTCCTGTTTAATTTGATCAAGTCTCTGTCGGTCTGGATCAATTTACGAGCATCTGCCATCAATCACCCGCTGATGGAGCGCCCGAATTGTGTGCCGAATACTGGGAGAGGATTGAGGCTGCTTAAATCAGTGCATTTTCGCAACCAGGGTTGCCATAAGGCCGATGGACCCTGGTTACGGAAGCGATTGCCCGATCGTGCGATGTCGTGACCAGAAGCGACCCTAACGACCCCACCAGTTAGACTGAACCACAGTTTCATAGCATCTGACCTGTTATACCCCCTACCACTTGTGCTGAGGTCTCCTACGTCATCATATTCGCTTCCTCCCCTCGCTTACATTCAAATCACCTTATGCGATAAATAAATACCCTATTGTTCTCTACTCCTCGACCACCACCGGTTTCTCCATTTATTCCATTCAACACAGTTCGGTGGGGAAGCGGTGACCTATTAAATTAAGTCATGTATAGGATTGTGTGCCTGGGTGGTCTGTTGATTTTATAGATGTGTGAAAGTCATGTCTAAGCCTTGACTCAGGCGTCAGGACGTTGGACTACCGGGGCCTGGAGGCTCGTGCTTGTGTGAACGTCCTGACAGTAGCCTGGAGCGGTCGGGCGACGCGGACTGCAGATAGTCTCACCTCCCATGCCAGCACTTTTGGATCACACCAAAGATTTTGACGAATGTCGGCGACGCCCAAGCAGCGAACGAACTTTACCAGGTAAAACGGTATCGCCGACAAAAACAAGGATGGCTTAAGTGACCATTTCTGGTTTGTTTACTATCCTCAGTTAGATGTTGCCGAATTATAGGCTGGGAAGACCCAATTATCGCATCAAAAAAACAGAAGGTCCGCATTTTGTCGGAGACAGAGGCCAAATTTGCCAGTTGGGCCAATCTTTTGTCCTGAGAGTACTGTGAAAAAATACTTTGGGACTATATCTCATCGCTGAAAGGTGTGAAACGAATGGGGAGTTATTTGGGAGCTCAGAGTCCCCGACGTTGCCTTCTCTCTAGTACTTCGTTACACAAGCAGTGACGGGATGTGAGACGGTATAGGTACTCCAGAGCCAAATGCTACTTCTGGGCATACCGTGTTTTAAGGAGAAAATAAGTAATTGGGCTGGAGTTAATCTCAGAGCTTCATATATTTAGTCCAGACCATGT